ATGCAATTGAAGTCTATAGTATACAGATATGAATCGAATTGTGTACATCAATTAATGAACTTGCAGGAGACACAAAATATTTATTTAATTCCAAGTATCTCAATAAATATATAGAACTATTACTTGATTTTTAGTTCTAGTCTTTAAAATGAAAAATTACAGTTATTTTGATCTGTATAATTATATAATCAATATTTTCGTAGTAGAAATTTAATAAATGTACATATAGTTATAAAGAATATATGTATATATTATAAAAAAAACTAGTATTAATAATAAATTATGTGTTGGATTATAATTTTAATGTTAATTTTTTGCAATATTAAATAATATCTACTGTTTATAAATAATTAAAAAGCACTTTTACCCAGTTTTTCATTAATATTAGAACAGTTGTATTTCAAAAGAATGGATAAAAGTTAAATGTATTTATATGCTTTATAATAAAAATTCTGATAAATTAAAATTTTTAGTTATTAAGTTTATAAATTTAAATGAGTAAGCACAAAATAATTTTTTAATAAATTTCAAATTAAAGCATGAATAAAAGTTTATTATAATATGAAATTTAGCAATATAAAAAAGCGATTATTTAATACCATCATAAATAAAAATTATAGAGATTTTAATATTAATATTACGCAATTTTTTTCTCAAATCTAAATTAATTTTGAACTTTATTAGTATAAACAATTGAATAATCCCATCAAATCAAATTATACTGCCTGCATTAGTCAGTATATACATTCACAAATATATGCTTAGCCAACGTCCTCTTATCCTTAATTTATTTAGCTAAAGATACCGTATCATTTTATGAATAATTTGAAAAACTGACGACTAGATATAATCTAAGATATACGTTACTTTATAATAAATTAAAATTTTAAAGCAAAGAAATTTGCAATTGGAAATTTATGAAAGCACACAATTTCTATTAAAAGCTGTTTACTATTAATTTTCTGAATAATTTCATAAAACTTTAGATTTAAGTGTTTTTGAAATCGACAGCCCCAAAAGAAAAAGACTCATACATAAGTCTACGAACCGATAGGCAGACAGGAAGACAATAAAGAGCACGTGAAGCGATTGTACTAAATCAAAAGTTGTTCACAGCTTCGTATTTCCCGAGGGTAATACTATGGTTGAAATTATTCAGAACTCGCCAACCATATTTATTTCGCTAAATTCTCCAACAGCAATATAAAGTTATCTCTCTTCAATGTAAGACAGCGCATTTTCTCAATGTACGAAGATTGTTTTCTTTCTTCTACTGCATTTAATAACTTTAATTGCTTTATTATCATAGTTCAATATATATATATATGGCGAGAGGGGGGGGGAGAAATTTTTTAGCTATGTCTATTAGATAAAATACAAAAACTTTATAAAAATTGATTATTTACGTTATAAATAAAATATTATTATATTGAATTTGGAATATATTGATATTTATATTGATATATCTATTCATCATTTGGAATTCATTTATACAAATCAATTTTTATATACTTCAAATCCCATGTTAAAATAACTACGGATAAAAAAAATGCGCCGGAATGGATTTTCGATATGCAATATATGACAAGTTTTAAGCATATTATTTATTCCATGAATAATTTAACAATGAAAATATAATATATTTCTACGATACGTCAAAATAATGAAAATTATAGTTAAGTGATTTGATCGAAGAGAGGAAACACGCCATTTGCGGTAACAAAACAGACAATCCATTAATCAGAGATACCGAAATAGGGATTTCTAACGATTAATCAGAATTCAGAGTATAGTCAATAAGAAGATTAGAATTAATAATGATTTAAAAGAGTCTATGGTTAGAAGGAACGAGAAAGGATAAAGTTATATGTTAAGCAGATAAGAAGTGATGTGAAAAGCAAATTTACCTTTACGAAAATAAAATAGTAAATATTATTAATTAGAGAAGAAATAAATATTTTAATATTATTAATACTTTTTTATTAATCTCAGTTCTATTCTATGTATGTGACGTAAAATAATTATGAATCAATAATATACTGAACTAATGATAAATAACAATACACAGAATAAACAAATTTATCTCATTCAATTTCATTTTATCAAAATCATTCATTTTTTATGTATGCAGTATATACATCAATAATTATTCTTTTATATTGACCCGCTTATAACAAAAATAAGTAACATAATTACAATTATATATACACTGATACACGCTAATGATTTTCATGAAGAATTACATTTCTTCTAATTTTTTTTAAATTGCTAGTTTATATTTTTAATAAAACAAGATCAGAATTATTATAGAGATGGAATTAATTTTGTAAAATGCATACGTACATTGAGCTAATTTATTTAAACCATGCGTTCCTATTTTTTTATATCACAATTTATTTCATACTTTTCTTTTGCATTACTAATTACCATTCTATTCTTTTTTTATATTAGCATAGTAATATAATTTCACGAAGAAATTATTAATATATAGAAGAAAATTCTTCTACTGTAATTTAAAATTATGATTGAAAAACTGTTTCATTATTTTACAAATATTTTTATTTTGTATAAATATACTTTATAGTAATATTATCAAAATAATAAAAATTTCATAAATGTTAAAATAAATTTTTAATGAATTGTATATTTCAAGCATACTTCAAAATAAAAAGATATGTAATCCTATCTTGAAAATCAAAAATTAATAAAAAAACTATATTTTTAAAATATAAGAAAATAATTAAATAACCAAATATTCATAATAAATAAATTATTATGTAATTCACTTACATATTTTTTCCAAAATAATATATTATTATTTTTAAATTAATTTTACCGTGTTTTCTCATCTTTATATAATTTTTAAATTTACATAAACAAAATAAATAAATAATAAATATATGGAAGTCTATATAACAACATTAATATTTTAAAGTTAATAAGAGCGTATATAAAAAATAATTAAAATAAAGGATAAATAATTTTTGTATTGATTCTTACACAATTATATTTTATAATATATTTCTCAATTATGATGAAATATTGCATGATAATAGAAATGGAAAAATTTCCTATAATATTTATAATTTATTTTACAGCTTCATTTTATATCAACTCTCATTTGATTAAGAATAATATTTCTCTGTGCTATTTGCTTATCGTTCGGTTCTCTCCTATAATTAATAGGAAGTAACAAGCAGTGAAAAGCTATTTTAACATGAACCGGTAAAATATATGCAAATAAGAATAAAGATTTTTCAAGCAATTATTCCTAATAATGTTAATGTAGCTAATATTTTTATTAAATGAATAAAACAATTTAATATTTATAATATACATAAGAACTGTATATATAATTCATTTTTCACAAAATCTATAATATTCTATGAATGTATATCAAATAAACGATTTATATAGTATTCTCTGTACAGGTATAAAGTTATTAATTCAATGAGTCATTTGATAAATGATAATGACCTCTTTTATTATTATTAATAATGATATATTAAATAAATTATATTGGTAATATAAAAATTTTTTTTACTAAAGTAACAAAAATAATTAATTATTACATTTCTTTATTATTATGTAACTAAACATGAAGGATAAAGAATAAGTATATGGCAATGAAGAATAATTTTTAAGTATTTATTAAAAAATGTTACATAAAAAATTTGATCATTATAATTTAAATATAGTTATTTAACTTATTCAATATAAATTTTAGTATATATAAACAATGTATATGTATATATGGCTATTATTTAATTATAACATAAAAAATATAAAAAAATAATTATCGAGCAATATATTGTAACATTTTCGTTATAGGTACAAATTAGCGAACCTATCTAGACTGGCGCAAATACAATTCGAAAATCAAACATAGTAAAGCCCATCAGTTTATCTACCTGGTCACAGTTTCATTGTTTTTTCGTCTTCTTGAGCATTGGTGAATTTAGAATTGTAATTGGAGGTACACTAAATTATTCGTTTGCACCACAAATCTTATTAATTAGTACAATCATGCGATCTTTTACCCAACTTGTAATGCAATGTGTATTATTAAATGCCAAAGCCCATGCTACTGAATTTATATTATATATATATATATATTACGGAAGATATTAAGATAAATCATTGAATTTGAGTCTTTTGAGTTTTTTGAAGATTTAAAATGTATTGATATATATTTATATAAAAAGTTAGCTTATTATTTTGTTTAGTATCTTTTATATTATATATAATATTTACTAAAATAGACTGCATCTGTAAAAAGTTAATATTATTAATGATATTATACTGCGACATATATATATATATATTACAGTTAATTGTCAAGGTTTTATAGTCTTACATACAAAATTTTAACATAATATACTTTTAAACACTTTTATTATTTTTAAAAATTATATTTTAATTGTATTTGTAATATTGCCTAATTATAAAGATAAATGATTATTAATATACCATAAAATGTTATTAATTATTCTTCTACGATTACCCATTAAACAAGTATTAAATTTATCTTATATAACTTTTAAATTACATATCATAAACTATTCATGTTATTTATATTAATATTCATTAGAAATATCTTGTACTATAAAATTTTTTTACAAATTTATATAAATGTTATGTGTAAAACTAGTTATATACTAATTGTTATAAATTTTAATATACTTTAAGCTGAAGATTATGTAATTTAAAATGAAAACATATAATGTAAAATAATGTATTTTACATTTTAATTGTTTTTAAATTATTTTCTGGATAATGTTTAATGTGCAGTACAAATTCTTATAATATATTTTTATTACCAAAAATATAAATGATCACGCCAGTAGCTCTATAACTTTATACTGAGTATAATGAAATTTCATATTTTTCTTTTCGATTAATAATGAAATCGTTGCGATTTGTTAAAAAAAAATTATTTGATGCTTGGAAACTATCAACGTCGTATGTTTCGTCCAAACATGCCATGTACTGTGACTCACCTGTAGGTAATAAAGGCAAAGACCAGAGCAACGAGGGAGATACTACCGCCCAGTACGACCACAAGACTTAGCACGCCATCCTGATCAAAAGAAGCCGCCAGACCCGTGGATATGCCATTGTCAATGCCATTTGAGGATTGCGGAAAGCCGTGTATCGCACCCGTATACAGTGTCTCCATCCTCTTAATTTTTATTGATTTACCTATAATTATAGATATGTGGATCTGGCAAGATTTTATTATAATTTAAAAATCATTAATTTTATTATTAAATTACAAATACGTATTTGATTGTATATTACATATGAAACCGTTAGTATTAAATAATGATTTAATTTGATATATATTTTATACGCATATGCATCGTATTTTTTAATGTGCACTGTAAATTTATATATAGATTTTCAAATATTCGCTAATATTTAAGAATATTCATCAATGATTTTTCGTACTTTTCTTTATTAAGCATATAAGCAATAAGAAAATTATTTGCTTTTAATAACTTAAATTATTATCAGTCCCTTTACTTATAGTTTATTAAAAATTTTATATTATCAATAACTATTAATCCTACATAAATATATTTTATCGAAAATAGATAAAATATACATATGCATATTTACTTATACATATATGTATGCTATTCGATTTTAAAGGTTTAGTTTATGGCTCGAACTACCAATTCAATAGTTCAGTGGATTAGTCTCTCGGCAGGATAACTTCAAAGGAAACAATAACAGACAAGGCTGAAAGATATTATGTATTTAGTAAAAACAATGTTTATTAATGTAAATAATTATAACAATATTGCACTTTGATGTAGAGAGAAATAATTCTATTGAAGTAGTGAGGGTTTATTCTTGCATTCTTGAATTATTGTAGATGCTATGGATGTGACTAAGTATCTTGAAGTTGAAGTAATGCCGATGTTGTAAATATCAGCTGATGTAGTCAGTCAATCATGCTTGTGGTGAGTTAGCATGAGAAGATGGTGTTTGAATCAAGTATGCGTGATGTATGAATAACTACTTGATATGGTGTAAGATGTTTAATGGAATTTATTAACTAATCAATTGTGTCTTTAGTTATTTATAAACCGTCTTTATGATTATAAACCTTACAAATCTGAAGGATTTCTTGAAAATGTCCTTATTGTCGATCAGTCGATATACTGTAGTCTGGCCTTGAGGATGATCTTGACTTGTTGCGTCATTGAGTCAAGTATTTTAGAGAATGCACAACCAAGTGTCCATCACCTGTCGACTGCGTCAGGGGATGCGAAATTGCCTAGGTTTCTTGTGCTAGATGTGACTAGTTTATTTATTAATATAAAAATAGGTACCTTGTAAAGTGTTGACAAGCTCTGTTGATTGCTGTTTAATTAATTTTCCCTTTGATTACTATTCCATTGGCTTCACTGTAATCACTATTTAATCTGTCGATTTCTTATTCATATGCAGGCGCGTAATTTTAACTATGATGCCGATTATATGCCCATGCATCGTCTTCACAGTATGTGTCTACACACACTGAGCGGCAGTTAGGCTTGAGTGAGAGCGAAGCGATATTACAAATGAGCGTATGAGCCTTTTGAATACGCGCACGAACCGAAGGCTTGATCGTTCCGTGGCGGCTCTACTGAAAATACCGACCGTTCCATGGCGGTCCTGCTGAGGGCAGATCGAGACCCGTGTACCATGACTTCTGGTGGTAGATGATTGAATCGGTTCACTATAGTCGGTCACTGCGGTCGGGTCACGGCAAGATGTTAGCCGCAAGCTCAGTTGGTCGAGGGTGGTTCGGCAAGAAAGCCGTTCAGCAAGCAAGAAGCTTTCAGCGAGAGAGGGAGACGCGCCGCGTGCGTCCCTTATATAGTCACGCGGCGGCTCACTTAGCTGGCAACAAGGCATCGTCGTTGTTGCACTAATTCTTACACGAGGCGTGGAAGGAAAATTCTAGAACCTTCGAGAATGTTCGACGAGAGAAATGTAGGAGTAATATCTTTGTGTGATCTTATAGTATATTAGATTTCATGTCGTAAAACTTGCTCGGACTTGCCGAGTTTTGTTTATAAGCATTCGCCCGAGTGCGCGTCCCGGTCCGATCGCGCGTGTCGTACGCCGCACAGCGCGTATGACCTACTTTTTCTAAAATTCATGGAACTGCATCAATCTCGAACATATTCAATCTACTTTTTTTCTTCTTTTTAATATTTAGTTTATTCATAATATAATATAAAATTCTTTTTACATTTTATATTTGGTAATAATTCATAATAATTGAATATTTCTTAAAATGAACTTAAACAATATTTTATTAGTTTCAATTAAAAAAAGAATTAGCTTTAATTATTAAATAACTCTTCAAAAATTTCCATGATTTTTAGATTACATAGACACAATTTAATTTTAATTTTTATGAATTATTCAACTGTAGTAAAAAATATTTTAATAATTTTTATAAATATCAAAGTAAAATAATATTACAATGCTAAATATTTAAAGAATTTATATAATTCTTTATATGTATATAACAGTAAATTACTTAAATTATACGATAAATGAAATTTCCTAATTATCATGTTTAATCAATGAACTTATTACAGTAGTTAATTTTGATTATATAGATTTAATATACCTATAAAAGTTTGTATATTATTCGTGTATTATCATAAATTTCAAATTGAAATTTAATTATGATTTTATATTTATTAAATAAATAATTGCAAATTACTTTTTAATTAATATTTATTAAATTTTATAAGGTGTAACATTGTAATATTATTTTTATATTTAAAAAATATCAATAACAATGTCAAGTTAAAAATCTTATTTTTAATATTCAAGAGTTTTTGTCATATAAGATTTTATTCATATTTTTTTTAAAAACTTATAATTAATATTAATATATTATTACTATATATAATAATACCGTTAATATTTTCATATCTATTTAATATAATATTAAATTTAGAATTTTCTAAAAATTATTCAATTTAATTCATTTTGTTTTTAGAATATATATATATATATATATATATATATATACACACACATTTAATACATAAATAAATATTTTTGTTAATAAACACATCGATTTTTCCAATAACTTTTTTAACATTATGTTTAAACATTAATTAGAAAAATTTTAAATATTAATTTTAATTCTTATGGAAACTCAATTCATAACATACTTTCTGGACTTTATAAAAGTTTCATAAAGATTTTTATTATAAATTTTTATATCCAATATTTATTAAGAAATCGATAAAATATTTGTAAATCGTTTTCGGCCTTCTCATACTTACATAATATTCTATGATATTCTGAACTTTTATACAACGTACTGATGTATGAATGCTAATCATTCATGGAATTTCTCAGTATTTTCATGATAATCTGATGATAGGTGTATCACTGGGTAGTTAATTCGTATCCTTCATATAAAGCAAGTATAATTCACATTATCCACACATACTAGCGAAAAGTAAACGACAGTATTGAAAGAGTAGCGATTTATAAGCTCTGATACTGATCAGTAGATGCATTTCTTCTCTTTCGAAGTCATATATAATATATCGTGGTTAATCGACACTTTTAATTTTAAATAATTTATTACCTATGCTAATTTTATTGTATTGTTTATATAGTAATATGAGTAAGAATTACAGAATAAAAATTCTTAACATTTTTAGTTTTGTAAATACTGACTTTTTATTAAAATTTTTCGAAGATTTTTTGGATGAAATTTTTTATGTTTATGTTCCATAATGCTACTATGAATATTTTCTACATATAATTATATAAATTTTTTAATATAATTTTGTTTTTCTGTTGTAAACTTTTTTTTCAAATAAAAATTAAAAAAGAGTAAAATTTTAATTAAATAACAAAAATATATTAAAAAACATCTTATGGTGAATAATAAATTTCAATTCACAATTTATAATCAGTTAAGTAAAATATAATATCAGAAAATACAATACAATATCCTATAGATTTACATGTTAATTATAAGGCTATGGATTAAATATAAGAGCTATTTGGTAATTTTTACTTAAAACAAATAAATTAATTTTTATAATATAAAAGATGAAGATACAAATATATATAAAATGAAGAAATTTTTAATCTGATAGTGACAAACAATCTTTCTTTTTTTTACTGTTCCTTTATATGGTATAAATAATAAGTTAAACATTTTAATATTATATATAAATTTAATATTATATATACTTTATATATATATAATATTATATATAATTTAGTATAATTGATATATATGACATTACGTATAATTAAGTATATGTTAGTATCATATAAATCAGTAATTTAATCGTTAAAAAAATTTGTTCATTATATCAATAATATATACAAATTTTGTATTATGACCGTGTTGTAATAATTAATAAAATGTGCAGGGAATTGAAAATAAAATACATATTTATATGTGTATATATCTGTTAATTAGTTTCAAATTTTTGTTATCATTTAATATTTAACTAAATAAATTTAAAAAATTTTTAAATTAAAATTCTAAAAAAATTAATTATTTCAAATAATTTTTTAAGATAAGAAATTATCATTTTATACTTATACATTTGCTATTTATGTATTTACGTATTAATATTATAATTGCACAGTAATCTTTTAGTCAATCTAAGAGAATGTAAAAGTACAGAAAATGTTTTTTAAAAACTATATTTAATTTATTTTGTAAGATGAAATACGAGAATAGTTACAAATTTTTAATTTTATTCTAAAAGTTTCATTTATCGAAACTATTAAATACATAACAAAAAGTCAAAAAATAATAACGAAAGAAAATAATTTTTTTTTTGTTAAATATAATTTTATAATATCTTTTTATTTAAATTTCAATAATGTAATTGATATATGCAATATTAAATGAATATTTTTTTATCTGATTAAATTTTGTATTATATCATAATATTTAAAATCTAGGTTTTATAATACTAGTAATATTATTTTTAGAATAATGCAATCCATAATATTGGATCATAAACTATAAACATCGTATATTACTACTGGGAAACACTACATTAATCTATTAAAATTCATGACTCGGAAATTTGAGTTTTACATTATTCGACCCCTTTTCAACTAATTTCTGTTTAATTTGCAAATTTATTACTTATATTATTATTAATATATTTTTAT